CTTCTTCTCCTTCTCCTTCTCCTTCTCCTTCTCCTTCTCCTTCTTCCTCTTCTTCTGTCTTTTTAAGACAGGTCTGATTATGCAGTTCAGGCTAGCTTTGAAATCACTTTGTAGCCCAGGTTGGCCTTGAACTCACAGCAGTACTCTGCCTCAGCCTCCTGAGTGCTGGGATTACAGGTGTGCGCCTCTATGCCCAACCTCAGCAGCTTTTTCAATAATACCATGATTCAAACAATGCCACTGTCCTTTTCCTTTCACACATTCTCTTCTGTAATGTATGAATTTGGAGCCGTAGAAAGCATGTCTAGAACAGCCCGCTTGGCAATGACACATTCTTCTCGAGGGAACACGGAGCATTCTCCAGGATAGAACACGTACAAACCACAAAATACACTTTTAAATTTTAAACTAATTTATTCTATGACCACATTAGGATGATATTTAATCCTAAGAAGAAAATCTAGAAATACAACACAAAAACACCAACTGTGAAAGCAAGCTGGATATTTAGCTTCTTTGGATTTGAGTGCTAGCATCCAGCACGGCATTTTGTGATATTTTTTATGCTTCAACTAGTAATCTTTGATGTGCTGATCTAGAAAGGCTTCTCTTGAGCTGCAGCCTGCTACATTTCTTAAAATTTAGATCAATACACAGAATTTATATCTAAAGAGCACATCATCCTTATTAGAAGCTGAGCCACATGTTTACCTTTCCTCTTTCAACTGACCAGAGACTTTTGCTCCCTCTGAGAACCTTTGATTGGGTTGGGAGACCAGAAATGAGGAAATGTTTTCCAGCTAGCCTGACAGCAGGTAGTAAGGGGCAGGAGGCAAACCAGAAGAAGGACGCAGCTGTGGAGAGCCCAGTGTCGCGCTTCTGACTTGGTAGAACCGGCTACTGACAAAGCAAGCTACACGCACCTACAGCTCCTCCTACAGGGACGCAGACGTCCTGCCTGCAGCTTCCGCAACAAGGTGTCAATCCCTGATAACTCTCAGAGCTCTGCCTTTCACATCTGGCTGGGCTCTGCTCAGTTTTCTTTTTCTTTCCTTCTTTCTTTTTTATTGTTTCACATTTTATTTTATTTTTTTTAAATTTATAACTTTTTTAAAATTAATTTTATTGAGAAACAAATAGCAATGAAACAGTTTCAAAACTGATTAGTAGGACAGTTTAAATAATGAATACATTGTCTGCTCAGTTTTCAGAGGTCCCTCTCTTGAGGAATTCCTCTTGTATTCTATGGTGCGGAAAACCCATCAGGGAGAGAAAAGGTAGATAATTTCCTTTTTCCTGTGCTACTCAAAAAGCATCCCATAGTGCTGAGGATGTGGCTCAGTGGTTGTGCTCTTGTCATGCATGCACAAGGCCCTGGATTTGATCCCCAGCACCACGCGCGCGCACACACACACACACACACACACACACTGCATATTATATATGTAGTTGTTTAGCAGCATTGCTGGGTACAATCCATGTGCTTTAGGTAATTCTATTAAAATGTGAGGTCAGAGGTTTGGTTTACCTGTGGTAGAGTGCTTGCCCAGCATGTACCAGGATCTGGCTGAATCCTCAGCATCAAAAGGATTTTTTTTTTACTTTTTTAATTTTAATTTTTTAATAGATTGCAAATTGAAAATAATTTACAAACATAAATGAATATAGCGATAAAAATTGTCCAAAATAAAAATGAAGAGTTTACAGATCAGTCATAAGAGTTCACTGTGTCAAAACCAAGAAACTTATATTCATATAATTAGAATTCTCAAAGTAGAAAGGAGTAGGCAGTAAATATTTAAAGACTTAAAATTTCTGAATTTAGTTCAACTTATAATACCACATTTCCAAGAAAAATGAACCTTTTTGCACAAGACATTTAAATAAAATCATACCAAGATACACAAAAATGAAATTGTCCAAAACATCGTAAAGAAAAAAAACATTAAAGCATATACATAAAAATATTAGCTATGGAGGAACAAAATTACATAGCATCTTATTCCACATTAGAAAGAAAAAAAAGGACCAAGTGTGTAAAAAAACTAGACTAATTAAAGGACTGAAAAAAAAGATCTGAACTAAGAAAACATTTTCATGATAGTAAAGAAGTACTAAGAGTAAAACATAAGATAAATACTGGAATGACAAAAAATGACCAGCACTTCTAACAGTTTGGGGATAGGATATCGCACAAAGTTCTAGTGTGTTGTGGACATGCATAATGACCATGACAGTTACTGTTGGCCAGGTGTCACTTGTGGGACTGAGCTACAGCTATTTCTTTGAAATCCACCCTGTAGACCCAGATGGAATCATGGCCCATAGGGTGGAAGAGAAGTCCATTTGTAGAGTGTGCTGATGGAAATATTTTACTGCTGAACACAAAAGAATAACTGAAAGACTACTATTGTATGCCTCTTATTCTCCTGTGTTCAATTGTGTGCCCTATTTGGTGGGTTCTTTCCATTCTCATTCATGGGGTTGTGATCAATTTGCTCCCTGTCTAGAACATCATTTAGTAGTCTGTGTAGGCTTGGCTTGGTCATCATGAAATTCTTTAGTTGTTCTTTGTCATGGAAGTATTTCACTTCTCCATTATACTTGAGAGTTTTGCAGGGTATATCAGTCTGAGTTGGAATTTGTTTTCTTGCAAGACTTGAAGTACTTTGCTCCATGCTCTTCTTGACTTGATGGTTTGTGAAGAGAAATCTGCTGTTATTCTGATAGATTTTCCTTTAAATGTGATCTGTTTCTTTTCTTTAGTGGCTTTTAGTATACTGTTCCTATGCTGAATTTCTGGGATCTTGATTATTATATATTTGGGTGTGGTTTTAATTGGGTTGATTTTATTTGGAGTTCTTTATGCTTCGGTTACCTGAATGTCAGATTGTTGCCCCATATTTGGGAAGTTTTCTGCTTTTACTTCTGCCTATATTCTTTTTATATCATTTATATTGACTCCTTCTTTCTCACTAATGCCTATTAGTCTCACATTGTTCATCTTTGCATCGTCTTGCAGGTATTGAATTATTTTTTCCTGCATCCTAGCTGTTTTTAAGAGATCTTTTCTTATTTTTTCACTAACTGCAATGGTGTCTTTAAGGTCAGAAAGTCTATTTTCACTTTCACTCAAACAGTTTTGCCAGCTTATGATTGAGGTTTTAATTTCCTGTATATCACTTTTGAATGTGTTTCATACATTTTGTTTCTTTCCTATATTGGCTTTTCAGGGGTTCCATCATTTTTATATTCTGCTTTAATTTTTTTATCAGTGTATTCCTTAGAAGCACTTAGTACTTCTTTGATTATAGTTATCACTACTTTTTTTAGTTAAGAAATTATTTCTGATCTGATTTCTTCTATACCTTTCTGCAGTTGTTTCTTTACTTCCAACACTATTATTTCAGAGATTTCAGGTGTGTGAAATCTCTGAAATAAATTTCCAGTTTCTCCTACGCTAGTGTTTTCTGCATTTGTACTGGGTGGACTTGGGGCCTGAGACTGCATCTTGTTCCTTCTCTTTGTCATTTTGTACACCACTTTGTCTTCTGACCTTTGGTGTAGAGCTTAGATAGAGTTATTACCTTAACACCAGGTCCAGATCTACGAAGTTCAGATTCCTCCAGGTGGGTGTTGTTTGGAACTGGCTGCTGTGCTCCACTTCTTTCTGCTGCAGCCATTGGAGTTGAACCCTCCGCGTCACTCTGGCAAGATGTTCTGCTCCTGAATCAGCTGGGTGGGTTTTGCCTCTAGCCTCTTTGCAGGGAGTTCTGCTGAAGGATTCCATGCTGGGCCTGCGCTCTGGGTCTATTGAAGATCCGCGGCCCCGGGAGGTCTCAATAATTTTTTTTTTAATCAAAACTAAACTTAATCACTTCTTTCTTTCCTTGCAGATATATTGAACACTATCTGGGAAGATTTTTAGTATCTGCTGATAAGTATTTTATGACTGGCCACAAAGTCATCATTTATGTCATGACGGATAACTTCTCTGCTATGCCCTGGGTGTCTCTGAGTCGCCACCGAACGTTCAAAATTTTTCAAATTAAACGAGAAAAGAGATGGCAAGACATCAGCATGATGCGCATGAAGACCATTGCGGAGCACATCGCGGACCACATCCGGTACGAAGTGGACTTCCTCTTTTGCATGGACGTGGACCAGGTCTTCAGAAGCCGATTCGGTGTGGAGACTCTGGGAGAGCGCATCGCTCAGTTACATACTTTATGGTATCCGGAAATGCCTGATGTGTTTCCTTACGAGAGAAATGAGTCATCCGAGGCTTATATTCCCAAGGGTAAGGGAGATTTTTATTACCATGCAGCTGTTTTCGGTGGCACGCCCACCCAAGTTCTCAATATCGTCAGGGAGTGCACCAAAGGAATCATGAATGACAAGAAAAATAACATCGAAGCAGTGTGGCACGATGAAAGCCACTTGAACAAATATTTCTTTCTCCATAAACCCACTAAAATCTTATCGCCAGAATACTGCTGGGATTACAGGCACAGAGTGCCTCCCTACATGAAAAATATCAGACTTTCTTGGAATTTTAAGAATTATAGACTTCTTAGAGAAAGCAAATAATTTTGTATCTCTTTGTATTTCTAAATATAAAAGCATCAGTTTGCCTCATTCTTTAGGAAATTATCAGTTGACAAAGTCTAGCATTAAAAGATCACTATTAAAATGACAAGTCTATCAACACAGCAAAGCCACACTTTTCATCATGTTAATTTTGGATCATATAATGGAGATTTAGGTAGTTTCAGGGTGAGTTTGCTAAAATCAGATGGAGATTTAATAAATTTACAATGTGTTTGGATGTTGAGGAAATATTATTTGTTAGCTTATGTCAGAATAGGATATATTCCATCACAAGCAAATAAAACTTAAGCTATTTTAATTGATCCAAGTGTAAATTCCTCACATCACTTAAGGAGAAGTGTTGTCTATAGGTGTGAGGACAGGAAGATCTCAGCAACCACAGAAACACAGCCGCTGGGTAAAGCTTTGAAGATGCCAAGCTGCCACCAGGTAGGCAGTTGCTTAGGAAACCATGAGTCATTCAAAAAGAACTCTGCTTTACCACCACAAAGCTGTTTTCTAAAAAATAAGAACAAATGGAAATAAAAAAACATAGAGAAATTGGAAAGTTGCTCTTTGTTTTCCCTTTGAACACATACCCATTTCACATGCATTTACACGCCACACTAGAGTCTGTAGACTGCGGGCCCTTCCGCAATGAACAGAGAGCAGGCAGGCCAGCGGCTGCCGCAGTCCACCCATGCTACCAGGAAGCACTTCCCACCCTCGGTCCCTGCCGGCCTCTCAGGCCAGTTCATGGTGTTGCCTAGCAGAGTTCAAGTACTCAAATGAATAATCGCTTTCTTCCTCCAAAGGCAGGACAGCAACTACCAGTTGACAAGTTGCTCCCCACCCCAAACTCATGCCCAGAGAATAGAGAACCTCTCCACTAGTATTCTGTGTGGCTTCTCATAGTTGAAATGCTGATCTGAAATAATGTTTTAAAAAGCTAGTACATTTTGTATCTGTGTAGTCAAAGTGGTTAGGATAGATATATAGTTGCATTCTCTTAATGAATAGAGGGATTTGTTCTAATGCTGTTTGTAAATAGGATCTCAAGTCCGCATCTTGTACAGCAATTAACCACTAGGAAGAATGTATGCAATGTGTTAATTATTGGAACTGTCCTAACAATTTGGTTTGA